TTCAGAAAGAGTCCTCCCACTTAGAATAGTAGTTTTGATATGAATTTTACGATTTAAGTTGCAATTTAAATCCGTTACAGCTTTCACATAAGAGGGCGTCTCTTCTCCTTCATGTGTAGGACATTTAGGTATTTTATTTACCGTTACAGCCTCTTAAAGCCTACTGCTGAACTTAGGCCTCCGCATAGATTACCTCATGGGGGGATATTTGCCATAGTTTTAACGCTTGGCAAGCGGGTTGGCAACCGCATTTTTTATTTTTAATCGTTATTAGGAAAACGCTGCTGCCCATCTCATGATTTGTTTCCCTCTGTTGTTTCTTAAGATACCCACGAAATGATATGGGCCAATGAGTATTCTCGCACTGTCATTAAACGGTCACCACTCTTTAGTTAGCAGATCGCAATTAGCATAATATAGTCGGATTCCTGCAGCCTGCGAGTTCTGCTAGGCCATTTTAATGTCTGGGTAAACTGTTTCCTGCAAACGTTTTATGTAATGCAAAAGTGAAATAATTGTCAGAGAGAACACCTAAGTACTTTAGGAAGCTATAAACCTACATTAAATACTGTATCAGTGTATCAGGTAGTTAGAGAAAACATACATACAATCTATGGAAAAACCTTGCCTAATGCAGATAATAAAATTATGACATCACGATTTTACCAAGGGCAGTCAAAGTAAAAATGACTTTCAATAAGAATTATTTATACATCTATATAAATATTTTTATTTATTATTAGTAGCATAAAAAATGGAAACTTCGTATAGTTTTACTTACACTATACACTGAGTGACGTGATAATTGCTGTTGCCCTTGAGGAAGATGACTACGCCTACCGTAATACAGTGTAAACTAGTACGGAGGGTAGAACATTAACTTTTCGGTAACAATATTATCATAACTCGCAATGTATTTTTGTTTACCTCATTTAAATTTGGATTTGTATTAGCTCTTCACTTAAATATGTACCGTTATAGTGAGGAGGTAAAATCTAAACCCTTGCTTTATTATAAGATATTTATTTATTTATTTATATAATTTGCATGTCACAAGAAATACATCATACATGACGCACAGACAGTGACGCCCCGTAGGGGCATAGCAATTTATAAGAGGGTAGTTTTTATTTTATTATACTAAATATTAACTACTACGTACTAAATACCATGTTATTTGTAACTTGTTGATAAATAAACAAAAAAATATTGATTTGGCCTACTGCTGGGTACGCGGCTCCTTATGTTTGTCAGTGTTTAAGATTTCAAAGCCTCTCAAAATGACGACTGAATATAACTTAAAATTTGATGAAAATCACTGTTTCCAGTAGTCGACATATGTACAATTATCCCATGTTATGAGGCAATCTTTGGGGAGGTCTACGAGAGGTGGCTGAAACGTTTTGAGCCTAAATAGGTACCTTCAAGTGTCATTCATTATTGTCTCGCGCTGTATATTATTAATTTGCGAATACCCTCCTTGGTATATATACAGAGTGTCACATCATTACGATTTTAGTAATTAATCCGTGAATTTCATCAAGTCTCAGTCGTCCGCGGATTGTACGAATTTGGAGTATAGAGCTGTCATAAAATTCCTCACAAAGAACAAAACGCCGACGGAAATATTTGAAGAGATGTCGACAGTTTACGGGGACCTTCATTTGCCACCGTAAAACGTTGGAGCCGAGAATTCAAGCATGGCAGGGAGTCGCTAGATGACCCCAAGGCAGGGCAGCCACAATGCCGTTAATGAAGAAAATATTGAAAAAGTAAAGAAACTTGTTCTAGAAGATCGACGAATCAAGTTGTGGCAGATAGCCGAAGCCATAGGCAAGGCAAGAATCGGCGATATTTTGAAAACTCATTTGCACATACAAAAGATGGCACACGATGGGTGCCAAAAACACTTACTCCGCTGGACAAGTAGCGTCGAGTGACAACTTCAGAGGAATTTTGGACATCTGTGGCGATAATCCTGACGATGTTTTTTCTCTCTCGCATTATCACCGTTGATGAAACATGGATCCGGCAGTACGATCTAGAGAGATCTAGAATGCAGTGGATTGAAAGGGGAGAAAAGCCGCCACGGAAATTCAAAGTGGAGCGATCGACATCCAAGATCATGGCCACTGCTTTTTGTGACTGCGAAGGAATTTTGTTAATTAACTTCCTTTCTAAGAATAGTACAATGAAAAGGGACTATTACGCTGTATTCTTTACAAAAGTGTTATTTGTTTGTTAAAAAAAAGAGGCAGTGGCGAAAGGATTCCGGTTTTTGCAGGACAATGCGTCATGTCATGTCAATGCAATGTTGCAAGGCGTACCCTGAACAAAACTGGATTTGGCGAAATCAATCACCTACCATTCAGTTTAGACCTAGTCCTCAGTGAGTTTTACTTGTTTTCAAATTTGAAGAAAGACCTGCCCGGAAGAAGATTTTCGAGTGACGAAGAAATGAAGGCAACGGTAGAAGAGTATTTCGAAGGCAAAGATAGCGAATATTTTTTTACTGGGTTAAAAGCCCTTTATCACAAATGTAAGAAGTGCATTGAAGTAGATGGAGATTACATCTATACAAATAAATTAAATTGAAGTGTCTGTTTGTAATGTCAAAATAACAGCTTTTTACCAAATGTATATGAAAGTATATACAAAAACAATTTAGAAATTTTTTATCTGTCTGTCTGTTTGTTCCGGCTAATCTCTAAAACGGCTGGACCGAATTTGACGGCACTTTCACTGGCAAATAGCTGATGTTATAGGGAGTAACTTAGGTTACTTATATCTATTTTAGAAAAAGGATTAGGATTCCGCGCAACATAATTAAAACCCTAAATTACACGCGGGCGAAGTCGCGGGGAACAGCTAGTAGAAAAATAAATTTTGTATACTTTTCTATCAGCATTTATAATACCCTAGGCTCAAAACTTTTTATTCATTATATTACCCTCGTATAGTCAGCATACATACTACTACTATACTAAGCAATGAACTAAGGTTTATCAATTATAGTTGAAATAAAACTGTAAACTTTAATTACAGAAATTTATTAATAAACTCACATGTAATTTGTGTCTGTCTACCTCACTAATACTCAAATTAACTCATTTCATTTACTTTATATAAAATAGACCAGTAGTATTTATAAAACAAATTGGACATATATCTATTTTAATATCACTGTACAATAAGAAAACAAAAATTAATACCTAAATAATTCATGTTCATGATAGAGGGTATTAATGAAAGGAATAAACTAAAATAGGGTCCGAATCACAGAATAGATCACAACTAATCCTAAATATATTAAAATTAACAATTATTTTAGTCAAAATATTTAAATGAAATTAGACACACATAACAAACAAATCAGTCAAATAATGGCATAAATTCTTGCTTTCCGAAAGAATTTAACAGCTCGGCCATGCAACAAAACCAATCTTAAAGCATAAAAATTACAATAAATATCAATACTGGCTAACATTTAGGTTTATCAGTGATATAATAATAATTATTATTTACATAGTCATAGCCTTAAAACTTATCGAGTTCCTATAGATCAGTTTACACTGCCAGCGATGTGGATGTGGTATAAACTTGAAGCATTGAGCAAAATGTGTACTTGCAATACAATTTTTTTAGGAATTCTCCATATTATTTAATATGTAGAAAAACTCGTATAGATGCTCTTTGGCTGGTTGCAATAGATTTTCAGATCAGTATTGAACTCCACAAACACAATAATCATGGGCGAATGGAGCAGCAAAACGAGTGGGTGGTCATTGATATACAGTCAACACTTTCATTATGAAAAGAGCCTGTTTTCATCTGACTTCTCTTATAGAAAATCTACATCCTTCACAGACTACTCTCAAATTATGTCTTAATCATTATTAAATTTCTCACAATAGAGCTAACCACCTAACCGACAATGTACACTAAATTTTTAATTAAGTTGTGTTTTTATATAATCCTAATCAAATTAAAAAATATAAGGTACATGTGCTGTGAACATACAAACATAATAAATAAAATAAAACTTCTTTACTTTCAATTAAATAATTCTGTGATGAGTGATGAATTATTCTTCAATCTTGCAATTACTATAGAACTGTCTGTGATCTAAATAAGAAAAATAGATTCTTATAATAAGGAAAAAATTGTGTGACAAAATGGTGTCACTTTGCAGGCAATATATTATTTTAATCATTCATGCATTTGTATAAAAAAAAAACTTTATACCTATACCCTTATTTCTTAACAATGACAAAACTAAAGGGTTTTATCTAAGTTATATAACATTTAGGTACATATTTTACTATTTAATCTTCTACCCACTGTTTTATAAGAAAGTGTATTAATGAAAAAACCGAATATAGATTGGGCAACCTTAACACTTTTATTATATTCATTACATAACTATAAGAACTTGAGATCATACACAAATAAATGGTTACTTGCATAATCCATTACTTAAAAAAAACATCTTATTTTTATCAAACACACTGTGATGATCAGCAAATTAAACAATATATGACATTCCTAATTATATTATTAAAACGGTGGGATATATCTTAAAAGACAATTGTTTGCACAAGATTGTGATAACTAAGCTTTCAAATTATTATCTGTTAACTACAATTACAATCAAAATATACAAATAAGTTTTAATAAAATATTTAAGTTATTTCTGTATAAACCAGAAAATGTTTATGATAAAGAAAAATAAAATTATGGGAAGATGATAATTTACTCTATTTTTTATTTCTGTTTTCACTTTTCAGCCCTTAAAGTAATATGTAATTGTTGCCAATTACTGAAAAAGTTAATAAAATTATTATTTCCCATATGAAATTTACAATGCTGCCGAAATTATAAACAATACACACTTATGAATAAGGTTAAAATTCTAGAGGTCTTAAAGCCGCATGATAAAATCTAATTTAACCAATAAGGGAACATTAGTTTGTACTAAAGTATACTCTGACAAATGTTCTTTAATCATCATCTAATTCTATAATAATCGGTTCAACATTTTCAGTAGCTGCAGTATACTCATTCTTTAATTGTGTTAACAACATACACTTTGGTATTTTAAGTTCATCTGCTTCATCTAATAACACTTTAAATTTTTGGACTCTTCCTATATCAGGGGCAGTTGGAAGCAACATTTTCTTTGTTTCTGTCATCCATTTATCAAAACTGTTAACTCTAAAGTCAAGAGTCTGCAACATTATGTGTAACTCATCCATGTCATATCTATAATTGAGAGTTTTTTTATCTAAAGGACACTGGCAAAAATCATTGGCATGCTGCAGGCATGCCATATGCTTACAATCAGCACATGATACAGATGACAAGAAACATGTTGTCTTGCATACCTCACAAAGTCTCTCATCATCTCCCAGCAACTCAAAGGCAGTTCTTCGTACGCTTTTTAATCCTTGCTTAGCTATCTTTGCCCGTAACCTACCTTCTTCCTCTGTAGCCGAAACTAATTCCTTTTGTGTTTCCAAAGCTGTTTCTAAATCTAGACGATCACCTTCTAAAGCCATTTTACAAATTAGTTCATCATGAGAGAAAACACAAAACCTTTTGAGGTACTTGTAATGGGTAATACATTCTCGCCCAATTTTAAGCCAGTCTGGTGGAGCAAAATTTACTGCTTCAGCAAAGTTATAGCCTTGATTGAAACCTGCATGATAGGCTCGTGGAAATGTCACAACAAATTCACCAGCTTGTTGATCAGTACGATAAATAGGGACCCCTGCTGCCATCAGTATGTTAGGATTCATTATAGTAACTAACTGATGAAGTAAATCTGGTTGAGATTTGAAAAGCTCTGGAGCCGCTGCTTTCATTGCATTCTCCAACAGTTCTGCCCCACTTCCTGGTACACCATACCAAGTTTTTGCTTCACCCCAATGCAAATAATTAATTGAATAACTCCAGTGGTCCTCATTGTGCCAGCAAAATGCAGAGAAGCACATACCAACATACATCCAAGGTACAGTCATACCTGAGATGTCTGCATTAATAAATCTTAGCACTGAACCATCTAAGACTGGTAGGTTATTTAAATTCCATCCTGAATCTACATACTCTTGATCACCAGGATAAAGATTCAAGGAGGACTTTGTTGGAAAACCTGAACCATGATCCATAGAGTGCAAGTCTGCACCATATTCTACTGTTACATCTTCTTCCACTGATGATATAATTCTCCAGAATTCTTTTTCTGCAACAGATGTAGGCACTAAATGTCCAGACATACCAAAATAATCTGATTTAAATTTATCAGCCATCTCTCCAAACTGTTGAAGAGTATATTCCCTTTCAGCCTGAGCAAAGCCGAAGGCCTCTGCTGGCTTATGTACCTCCTCAGCTATACAACAGGGACAACGCCAATCTCCATCAGGAACGGAATTTAAGGGAGGTTTAAGACAAAATGTATGATAAGTATCAGAACAACCGTTACAAATCAACAATAGATTATCAGTATGATCTTTTTGACAAATAGCACAAACATAAACTGCTAAGGGATCTAAATCATATCTTGGTCTTTTTCTAGATTTTGTTATATCAAACTCTTCATCATTAAGACCAGGCATTTTGGGCCCAGGTCCATAACATGCTAATCTCCTCAGCTCTCTATTACATTTCATTTCCTCACTTTCTACAATACTATTATTGACCACATCAGGTTTAATATCTGATCCAGTTTTAGTTTTTTTAATACTTGTGTGAGGTATGTAATTCTTACATTCATCTTTTATTTTAGTGATTGATTCTACTGATACTTCTTTAAAGGACTGCTTAACAACATCACCATCAGTTTTAATTTCAACTTTTGTCTCACCCTTTTTAACAGTCTTTAATATATCAGCTTTACTTTTTTCAAATATTTCATAAGGCAGCAAAATTTTTTCATAATTGCTTCTTAAAAAATTCATAGTATTAGCATTTTGACTGTAGCCCATGGAATTTGCTATCTTACGCCATTTTTTTGGTGTATTACAATTTTCGAAACCACCTTCTTCATCTACCCAAAATTTTAAACAATACAAATCTAATGTTTTGTTTTCAATCATAGGAATTTTTAATGGCGAGCCCTGTAAGTCCCAAAATTTCAAAATTTTTTCGAGAAATAACAACTTCAATCGAGTAATGGCTTCCAATTCGTTTAATTTTTGTATTCGTGGTACAAACTTTAATTTGTCAACATCCAACGAAAAAGGTGGCTGCCAACGCGCTGGAGGTTTTATTTTACAAATACCAGTTATTTCAGCAACAGGGCGAATCTTAGCGATATATCCCAATGGATCCGCAAAATCTTCAAGCGTAGGCTCAAATACAGGTGCCGCGGGTGGTGGAGTGAAAGTGAACTCTGCACTTTTTTGCATAGCATTTTTCTGGATATTCTTACTATCCATTTCTTCTGACTTAAGAAAAATATACTTTCTTCACAATTTGTCAATAATGACCATTTCACTATTTCAAAAAGTGTACGTGACTCTTCGCCATGTGTAAATGGCTCCTAAATTTTTGAAATAGGGCAATCGTTCACTTTATTATAATTGACGTATATGAATTCTTCGTAAACATAGTCTCGTGGTCTCTACTCATACTCAAGTCAAAGATCCCACGATGTAACCCGGTTTTACTTTAATTGAAATTTATTTTAGTTTACAAAAGCTTGTACAAACTTACTGAAATCTCCACACGCAATCGCAAGATCGCAATCGCAACTGATTGTCCCGTGTCCCGGTAAACGCAACCGACACACACACCCAAATTTGTGACCAAACCAACACACAGAACACTATTACCAACACAAAGTCACAAAATGTAGATTCAAGCAAGTCAATTGATTGTTTTATTATTACATTCTATTGTACATAGATTTGTAGCTATAGATGGTTTCGAACAAGTTAGGATTTCCTATGGCAAAGAAAGAGAACCCGTCGTCAAAAATGTTGTTATGTTTAAGTTGGTACATAGTGCACAATATAAAAGTCACAGAACACTAATACCCTTAGGCGGGATAAAAGTACTCTGTGATAGTGCAAACTGCAAATCAATTATAATATTGACTTGAGCTAGTGATGGTCAACTCGATTTACTAGTTCGAGTCAAGAGTCAATTCGAACTAACTCGATAGGGCTAACCCCGCCTAAGGGTATTAGTGTTCTGTGGGGCTAACTCTAGTTTGGGCTTGCGGTGGCAATAATTGAACGAAATATGCGAGCAAGCGAGAGCACAATTCGTTCATCGTGCATATATATTTTAAAATACCAATAAATTATTTATGAATAATTTGTGGTACTTAAATTATTAATTATTTAAGTACCTACGTGACGTACGTGACCATAAAGTTATAGTGATATTATTTTGTTATTATAAAAATAGTTACCTATATTTAATACGCAAACCAAAAATAAATAATATAGTACTATAAATACGTTTTTTATTTTACTACTACGTACTAAATTTATTAATAATAATTGCCCCAGCATATACGATAGCATCGTATTAGTCTGAGCCCAACACGGAGTTAGATGTAAGAATAAATAAATAAATAATTATGTATTAATAAATTGACTCAGAGTTTATTGAACCTGTGAATTCGAATTAAAGTGGCTAGGTAGAGACAAGCACAGTGGCAAAATAGAAGATTAAGTAGATAAGTTAGGTATTTATACAAGTGTTGTAAATTATTAGATATTGGTACGATCGCTAACTGTGGGCCGCGCGAATACAGCGTCCGCGCGAATATTGCCACCCTAGTCAGCTGATTTATTTATTTTAAATTCCACTGCTGGTTTTATGTTTAATTATTTTCATGATTTTGTTTTATGAAATTATCGCTTCATTTAGCTGTACTAACATAATGGAGCGTGAATAAAGCTAATAAAAGGTTGTGAATAGATGATATTTTTTCCTCCGAATCGATTTTCTTTCTGACGCAACATCAAAGGTATCGTTAGTACTATCGTCTGTCCTTGTTTTCGGGAGCATTTCATAAACAACCTGTATACCGAAACTAGCTGGCCCGGCAGATGTTATTCTGCCCTTACTGGTTGGTGGCATGATGAGTTTCATTTTCACACAAACACTTTTCTATAGATATAAGCATAGCTAAATCCTCTTTAGGACTAATATAACCATCAGTAGCCATAATGACAATTAACTTAAAAAAAGGAAAACCTAACCTTTTTTTTACTCTTTCGTAAGTGGATAAAATGTTGCCTATATGTTATACACGTGCATTTACTGCCTACATACAAAATTTTATGAAAATTCATTCAATAGTTTCTGCGTTAATCGTGAACACACAATTTTTTCTCCTGTGCGGGGAAAGCCTGTCACTGAGTAATTTGATATAATTTGCATTGATTCTAGTTCGTTGCGTTTATAGTTGTAATGGACTAACTAAATAAAATTACAAACGAACACACGAGAAAACCAATTTCACCAATGTTTCCCGGCCGCATACTGTACAACAGACGTTGGCAAAATTAGCGGAGTTAAAACTAGAGACCCATCCTCATTCACCATTTTCTCCAGACCTTACCCCAACAGACTTCCACTTACAACGTCGTTATAGTTACGTTATTTACATCTTGCGAGTTTCTTACAAACAAAAAATATACTAATAAACTAGGAACTTTCGAAAAAACGGTAAAGGCAAAAAAAAGCATTTTTGTTTGAAAGGGTTTATGGCTGGAAGATAGAACGCATTCGAATTTCTGCCTTTGTATTATTATTTTCAAGTGAATTTTAATATTCAAAGTTAGTGTTATTTTGTTAATAAATTTCGGTGCATAATATCATATAATTGTGTATAGCGATGACATGGGGGAAAATCTAGGCATAACTTTAAATAACAAAATGTTACACATTGCTGCATGCCTGGAGTATCTTTTAGTGACATCCTAAATAAAATTATTGTTACTAAGTTTTGCCCAAATAGTACAATAATAACTTTTGTTGGTAGAAGAGGCAGTGTAAACAATAAACAGTTATTAAGATATATTGAACAACTTAATAACTTAAATGTACACAAAATTGTCTTGTTCACACTGCTTTATATACAGGGATTGCCACAGGAAAATAATTTAAGTCATAATTTAAATATGCAAATGCATAAGTTAAAATGTAATAATAATTTGAATTTGACATATAATTGTAATGATAATAATCATAAATTTCATTTAATTGACATAAATAATTTAATAAAAAAGTTTTGGACAAAAGATAGGTATAACCTATCCAAAAATAATTTAAGACTGGTAGCAAATGTGCTATCTTATTATTTACTTTTTAACTCTCTCAAGTTTTTGGCTACTAAGACTGCTTTTATTGAGCATCATAATCATTTGACATTTAATTTAGAATCAGTTCCAACTAATTTAAATTAGTGAATGCGACAATAGAGGCAATCTCTAGCAATAATAAGAGTTTAATTAATTTTGAATAAGGCCCACAAATAAGTAATAAAAATTGTTTACACCTGGTGCATCAAAATATACAAAGCACGATGGGCAAAGAATTGGAAGTGGAATTGTTTTTAAATAGTAACAATATACATATCCTTTGTATTACTGAACATTGGCTAAAAGATTATAATTTCATATTTAATTTCAGAAATCACCAGGTGGTCAGTTCCTTAAATAGAGAAAAAAGTTTACGTGGTGGCTCCTTAATATTAGCAGATAAGTCATTATTATATAAAGAACGTAAGGATATTGTGACCATCTCTGTTGAGCGAACTTTAGAAATGGCTTGGGTCGAACTCGAGCACCTCATTGTTGTAAGTGTTTACAGACCCCCATGTGCTACTTATGACTATATTGAAAGGATTGTGGAAGAAGTTTTGCTCAAACTTAGTAAACAGAACAAGTCTGTTGTAATATGTGGAGACTTTAACATCAATCTCCTTGAAACTTCTTCCATTAGTATTAAGTTTAACTCATTGTTTAAATCGTATAATCTTGTTAATTTATTCTTAGAACTAGCTAACTATTGCTAGGCCTAGTGCGACCTGTATAGATGACATTTTTACATATGTTAAGCCCTTGCATAAATCAATTATTTAAAATTTAAGTTCAGATCACTGTGGACAGTTGGTATCACTACCTTACATACACAAAAATCAGAAAAATAAGAAAGTTGTGTTTGTTCCAATAAATGAACATCGCTTGGAGAGGTTTAGAAGTAATATAATAAAAAGGCTTCCATCACTTTCGTTTAAAAATAGTGCTAATTATTTGTATGCTACATTATTTAATATTATAAATTGTGAATTTAGTAGAACACTTCTAAAACTTTCTCTTTTAACAGTCGCAAATCATTTAATGAATGGGTGATAATAGGAATTTATAAAAGTAGGCGAAGGTTATACGAGCTTTATGATGAAAGATCATATAATATGTTATATTTAGAGATTATGTAAAAACATATTCTATAATATTTAAAAAAGTGTGCTCTATTGGTAAGGCTTTACATTTAAGCAACAAACTTAAAATGACCTGGAGAATAATTAATAGTGAAACGGGCAAGGTCAAACCGCGCAACTCGGATTTTCAGTTAAATATTAACAATAATTTAACGCAATCTGATTAAGAAGTTGCTATGGATTTTGAGAAACATTTTACTTATGTTCCTTTTTTGACAACAAAACCTTTAAATTCTTCTGCTACTGTCGCCGACTCATTGCTTAAACAAAATGCAAAGGCTTGTTCAAATACTTTTAAATTCCATAGAGTACTGCCAAAAGATATCGTTAAATATTTTAAAACTATTGATGTTAAGAAAAGAGCAGACTTATGGGGGATTTCCATTAAAGTTATTTTATCTAAAATAGATATAATAGCCACTATATTTAATACAAGCGTCGAATCTGGTGTGTTTCCTGATTTAATGAAACATAGTAAAATTATACTTTTATTTAAATCTCGTAGTACATTAGACCTGGCCAATTTTAGACCAATTTCTGTACTACCAACATTTAGTAAAATTTTTGAAAAAATTAATTTTATGTCAGATGTTAAGTTTCTTTAATATTAATAAATTGCTACATAAAAATCAATTCAGTTTTACAAGGGGTCGCTCGACAACTGACGCTGGCGTTGAGCTTATTAAACTTATTTTTTGTGCATGGGAGAATTCAGAGGATGCTTTGGGTACATTTTGTAATCTTTCCAAGGCCTTCGACTGTGTTCACCATGAGACATTAATTAGGAAGCTACAGTACTATGGTGTCAAGAACACAGCGCTTAAACTTATTATTTCATATTTAAGTAATATAATGCAGAAGGTTATTATCAATGGTAAAAGTTCTTCCGGGTCACCTGTACTAATAGGTGTCCCTCAGGGCTCGATTCTCGGCCCATTCCTGTTTCTAGTGTATATTAATGACTAACCTTTCCTTGTAGGGGGGATAATCATGATATAGTATTATTCTGCCATAATTATTTGAAAATTAAATTGGAAAAAGCAAGACACGTATATTAACTCAATTTACGTAGAATTGTAGGTTCCTTCTATGTATGTTATTACTCTGAGGTAGAGCATAACTGGTCTGTCACATTAGTAAAGAATACGGTACGGTTTCTTTACTCATGTGCATGGAGTGTAGAGATAAGGAGAACCATCTCATATGGGGTGAAAGTTGAAAAGTGTATATTTATTTATCTATGAAAGTGTCCAATAGTATACTGAAAATAGAGGTTCCAAAACCTATCACAATAACGCTGGCGTCTGAAAAACTACGATATGAACATAGCTGTTGTAGACCGAGTGAAGTGTGCTGAGTTCAAATATTTAAAATTTTTCATGACTAGAGTAGTTAGCTAGTTAGTAAAATGCCAATATACAAAACCTCAACTATTTACGTAGTCTAAAATAATAAAGTAAATATAACCAAAACTGATATGAGCAAACGTGATTTTATTATTGTGACTTTTTTTAAATAATTATTAGTGATTTTTATATATATTTTTATTGTGGTGATAGTTAAAAAACGTTATAAAATAATTGAACAATAATGCAAAAACTTGTGTTGTGAAAAGTTGTTTAAGTGGACGTAAACTCAAAACTATAAACAATGGTTCGCTTCAGCTTTTGTCTTTTTTCCGAACTACTGTATGTTGAGTAATTTATTTTCAATTATTTAATTTACGAGAAATCGAATTTAAAATAATTCAATCCATGCAAAGTAAATATTGTTACGATTGGTGCCACGTACAAGACATTAATAGTGGCGCAAAACAATATTCATATAGTATTTAACTTCTTGATTATTTCTCCATCTTATTCTAATTACTTTTGGTGCTTTTTTTTAAATTTATCCTATATACCTTCCGCAGCGCCACCCGTATTGGAAGCGTTTTTACGGACACTTATTCATACTTGTGAGCTTCGGAGATTCTTATATAGAGATGGTCCTCCTTACCTCTACACTCCATACTTCCTGTATATAGTTATTTATTATACTCTTTGCTCCATACTCAGGTGGTTCAGTGACACGCATGTTCAGATTAGTAAATATTTAATTAATAGTGTGTTATGCTAGAGATGAGTAAGTGAAAAAATATATCGATTTATCGTAGTACAGTATCGAACAGCATCGATAATTATCGCGTGATAAATATCGATATATCGGTTATCGTTCTTAGGCGGGATGTAGAAGGATGAGGACAAAATTTTTATTACTGTACAAAAAACAAAACTTGTTTTGTTGCTTCTTGTTTTCTATTAATTTTTAAAATAAATATTATTCGATACTCTATATCGTCTCGTCTATATTTATCGTATATCGTGATTAAAAACATTTTTATATAGTTTTCTGATAAAATATCGATATTTCGATATTTTTTATCCAAGCCTTCCTATGGTATGTCATTACTCATTATGTCAATTTAACCAAAAATTGAAAAAAATCAAAATGAAATAATCTCAGAAGGGAGCCGGGACCGAAAGTAAAAGTGACAAGAAATATTAGTGTTGATTTTATTAATTCGAGAAAAGGGATTTGTTTCTATAATGTTAAGCGCTTTTCGTAGACGTTTTATACCAAACATTCAATGTGAACAAATACGACTTGGTCACAGAGTCAGGGGTAAACCTCCAATCTTCTGTAGAACTATAAAAGAACGTTTAGATGAACTTAATTATAAAGATGAACTTTATACGGCACGGATTGACATAGGGTATCCGAATGAAAAGTAAGTTTTACATAATTTTTTTGTCTGTTAAGAATTATATCTATATTGATTCACCAAAATATCATACATGATTATTTTTGAATCATCAATGAGTAATCAAAGTGCTGGGATCTATTGCAGATATACATATATATATATATATACTCACAGTGAATTTCGGGTATAACAATGATGAAGGGACCACTCTATTTTCGTTGTTGTATCCGGAAGTCGTTATAGGCAAAGGTAACAAATTCAATACATTACAGTTGCTACTCACAATATCACTTTGTAACTGAACCATAAATTTAACTCCGAAACGTACACACTTCCCTCCTACCTTCTTAGCTGATATCTATAAACAAAAGGTAAAGGTCTCCACACTTGCTGACCATCTGTGTGGATGTAAACAAAAGATAAGAAATGTTTGTGAAAGAAAGAAATTTTTGTCTTTGGCGGCCGACTCCGGTCGCAATATCTGCATGGGATTTCTAGGAATTTGTTACAAATGATTCATTACAAACAGTCGCTACAACCGAACTCTGCGTTTCATCCAAAGTCGCTATAACCACATGAATTTTGTACTAAAATATGCTTTAAATTCAAGGGACTTAGATTTAGCGTCGCTATAGGTAAATGGTCGCTACAACCAAGGTTGTAATATATATATATATATATATATATACATATATATATATATAATGTCTGCAATAGATCTCTTAAATCAAATCAGAAATGGGTTAAGAGAGTGGAAGGCATTGGATGGAAGGGAGACTATCCCTCTAAGCCCAATGCCCAAGGAACACCCCAGCTGCACCTGCACACAATAGGAGAATTAAAGGAGAATTAAAAACGTTACCCCCACACTAGGATTTTCTCCTGCGTTGTGGAGGCAGTTCACAAACATAAATTGCACAAGGACAAACATCCAGACCCGGAACAATTATTTGTAGGCCATACAAATACTTGTTCCGTGAGGGATTCGAACCCGCGGCCCCCAGCGCAACAACTGATTGCTAAGCCACTGCGCCACGGAGCCGTCCTACAATTAAACAATCTTTTGTTATAGGAATTCTAGAGATGTGAATTCTAGTGACAATCATAATATGCAGTTTGCAGTATGCAGTAGCAGTCGCAAAAAATACTTTATAATCTTAAAAAATTGTATAAGCATAAATAGCACAAAACATAAGTGCAAGCAGTAAATCAGTGAAATAAATAAAAGACTATGGTGGGAGGTGTAGGAATGATCAATATTAACCTCTCAGATCTCAACATTGTAACGGATCAACTTCATCAGACTTGTGGTCAGGCCAAGGTCAATAATATGTCATTTTTATTATTCTGAAAATAAATTCACGGGGAACTACATTGCCTTCGCAGGTCGATGTAGTACGTAACAAATTATGTAGATAGCGGTGTTACAGAAAAAACAACAGTATTTTAAAGCTAATAAATAGGTACAAAATCAATAAGTGAATACTCCCATTTTAGAGGTTTCCAAATGAATTGGCGACCTTAAGGTATAAATCTGGTGAAAGAAATCTTACAAATGAAATAATTCTGTAACAACATCGTTTGTTCAAGTACTACATAGACCTGCGAAGCGGACATAGTTCTAATAGTAAATTAGCAGAAGGTAGTCATTTGAAGTAAATTCTCTTAATTTATTTTTTATATAATCTTAATTCTCGCAATTTAGTAATGAGACTTAACTCTAATAAAATTTTAGAATTTTAGTTGTATAATTCTTATAAATAGCTAAATGCTATTGAAATATAAGAATTGTTCTGAGCACTCTCATCTATGTTTCTAAGGGGTTTACAAATGTGGCAAGTGCTAATCTGATGTGTTGGTCAGACTCCACAGATTAATGGAATATTGATGTTAAGAGAGAAACCATCAATATTATCATCTCCAACAAAACATTGATCCATTGATGATGTAATTAAAAGTATTAAAAATTGGTGTCTCCACATGTGTATCTTGTAAAAATCTTATCTAGCTTCAAGAATTCAAGATTTAAAATTTATTTTATATAAATCTGAACTATCCAATAACTTTTAAAAGTTGCTGCTTAAACACTACCACATTAAAAGGAAAAGTACTGGCAATAATATTATTTCTTTATTAGTACATATTATTACTTAATTGTTTTTGATTTTTATTTGTTACTAGCTGTTCCTTGCGGCTTCGCCCGCGTGATATATGGATTTCATGGGTTTTAAATTTTTTGCGTGGAACCCTAATTCTTTTATTGAAACAAAAGTAGTCTAAGATATTCCTTATATCATCAGCTATCTGCCAGTGAAAGTCTCGTCAAAATCGGTCTAGCCGTTTCAGAGATTAGCCGGAACAAACAGACAGACAGACCGACAGACAGACAAAAATTTTAAAAATTGTGTTTTTGTTATTAGTACAATATATAATTTCATATGCATTTAGTAAAAAGCTGTTATTTTAACATTACAAACAGACACTTCAATTTTATTTATTTGTATAGATTAGTTATTATATAGTAAATAAACACCTCCATATTGTACAGGTATTGACATAGATGGTTTTCTAATGTTGTACATGGTTCTTCACATCAGCCAATAGACACTCCGGGAAGTCTGCAGTATGTCGACATGTTCAGGATTGTTCCACCCATTATATCATATTTGATAGACCACAAATCTTTGCAAAAGAGCACCGATTCCTACCAAGGATGATTTGCAAGGCTATTGAAATTAAAAATATGTCCTAATTTCAATAGAGAAGATGGCTGGGTGCTACTATCTGATTGGGATCCCATAATTAATGAAATTAAATCCAAACAGACTAAAAATTAATAATTAAAAGTTGAAGGTTGCCTTTGTTAACTATGACATTAGGACATCAATCACCTCAGTCTCCTCCGTGTTCATGGGTGGTGGAAAGTGCCCAAAATGTCGGGAATTAAAAAAGTTGAAATTAAACAGGATAAAATCCGGAAAATTTGTGTTATTCTATGTAGTATTTGTGTAAATGTAAGAAATCATTAGTAAAGTGCATAAACTATGTATTTACGTACTTTATTAAGTCTTTCTACCATAAAAATCATTGTCATTTCTAAATCTGAGCAATTTTTTTATTTCAGAAAACCAGCTAAAATTCTAAGCGCTCGTTTGGAGCAGTTGAAAAAACTGAAAAATGATAAACAACTTGAGCAATTGGCCCGTAATCATAAACTGGAGATAAATTTGGATGAGGCAAAAAAAGAGTGGTTACAAACATTAGGCCCAAAACAGAAAAAACAAATAGCTGATCACTATGGTGTTTATGAGCATCTATATGGGGAAGGATATTTCATACCTTATGTTAATTTGGAAGTACATTATGATTTAAAAAATGGCTCCTTTTTACCTGTATATACAGGCAATGTTATTAAACCAGCAGAAGCACTTGAAAAACCTTTAGTCACATATGAATCTAATGAAAATACACTATGGACATTAGTTTTAACAAATCTCGATGGGCATTTAACTGAAAATGATAAAGAATATGTCCACTGGCTAGTAGCTAATATACCCAGTAATTCCATTGAACAGGGTGATACTATTGTGGATTACTTGCGCCCTTTTCCACTTAAAGGAACTGGGTATCATAGATATGTTTTTGTATTATATAAGCAAAATGAAAAACTGTCATATGATCTCCAAAAAGGTTAGATTAGTTAACACATTCTATATAGTTTTTGTTCTACTTTATCTCCTTCCACGCCTTCTTTAGTCTGGAAAAATATTAAAAAAGATATTGCTGTTCTAAGTCAGTTGAACAAAATCTATCTTCCAATGACCCAATGAAAATTATTTACAGTTCTTCAGTGTCTTAAAGACTCATCTCCATGAGTCGATGGTATTCCTCACCCATTCGTCATTAAAAGCAGTAAAAAAAACTAGAACACATTTTTGACTCCGGAATTCCTCCCAAAGAATAGAAGACCCAAATAATACTTCCTATTCTCAAACCGGCTAAAGCCTGTGAAGACTTTTCAATTTACAGACCCATTGCACTGTCGTGTACAATGGCAAAGATACTAGAACATCTGATAAAAATTGGTTAGAATAGTTCCTGGAAAGTAAGGATGTTATAGCAAAAAGCCAATTTGGCTTTTGAAAAGGCTTAAGCACTATGGATAGCCTCAGCACACTAGTAACTGACGTCTGCATTGCTTTTTCTAAAAATGTGTATCTTGTTGGATCTTTCTCGATGTTTCGTCCGCATACGACAATGTACTTCTTCCTGTACTCAGGTAAAAAATGCTGAAACTGAGTATACCAGTAAAAATATCCTTTCAGTTCAGATATCCTGACATATTTGGAAAGGTCTTCCTCAAGGCTCAGTCCTCAGTCCTATTCTCTATATCTATACTATCTACACTATCGATTTATATCTCGCAGTCAATTCATTTTATAATGTCCTACAGTATGCAGATGATTTATCCTTATATATTTTTACAGATAATTTGACTACAGCTAATTTCCGGTTGAATTCTACCATGGAATATTTACAGTGCTGGTTAACTGATCATGATTTATCTCTCTCTGTCTCCAAAAGTAGTATATTGATTTTTACTCACTATAAGAATGTCCCTAATATCCTAATTTTATATAAAGGCTTACCTATTCCCATTCGGGACAAGGTAATTTTTAGGTAAGGTACACACCACATTGAATACATTTCTAAAAAGTGTGAAAAGAATATAAATATTCTTTGTTCCCTTTCTATAAAGCTATTATACAATGCTGTAATTTGTAGTCATTTAGATTACGGATGCTTTCTTTTAGAGTCGTGCAATAAAAAATCATCACTTAAAAGTTTAGACATACTTACAGTATAAATGTCTCTGCAATATAAGTGGTGCAATGAAATCTTCCCCAATTAATGCCCTTCAGGTGGTGTGTTGATCCTCCTCTCAACATAAGAAGATAATATCTTTCAGATGATTCTTCATCATCAACTAGTATTTTAAGATTTACGGGGTTTAATCATCAATAAAGATGATTAAACCCCGTAAATCTTAAAATACTAGTATGAAACAGTGTTATGGATTTTCTTACGATTATACCCACAGTTTAATCTTACTATTTTTTCAGTTACCCACAATTCGTCTCTAGAAGACAGGACATTTTACACCAGAGATTGGTACCAAAAGTACCAAGACAATATTACTCCTGTCGGCTTAGCTTTCTTTCAGTCCGATTGGGATCAAACTGTAAAGGATTATTTCCATAATGTGTTAAACAAAAAGGAACCAGGTATGCTTATAAATATTGTGTACTATATATACATTACATAATGTTTGCTACAGCATTTGCAATATTTGTTTAAATATGTTAAAATAAAAAAGAGTGCTTTAAAATATTCTAAAATGCAAAATACATATATTTGATTTATTGCAAGAGACCTTTTAAGTAAGCATGACATGACCCAAATCCGTCACACACTGATATGTACTAAGTATGTCCCAAAATGCTCAAGCTTATAATTGTCACTTAATTTTTTTATTTTCATATATATTTATATTAAATTTAAGTGACAAACGAATTTGCAGTCTATCTGATGGTAAGTTGCTGCTGCAGTCCATGGACACCTGCATTTAAAAAAAAGGAGGTTACAGAAGTATTGTCACATTTTAGGACAAAAATGGAATGTTTCATAGCCAATAATTACTCTGGCTCTTCATGCTGTTTAGACCAGAGCACGGCAGTACAACCATTGCTATTTGGTGGCAGATATAGCTAAGATGGTGGCACCTGCCCAGACAGACTCCTAGGCAGAAAGAATTCTACTATCCAAACTACGACTCCCTCTTACGATCTGCAACATAATACTTTTTTATAGGTCTATAATCATATCTTAGTATTATAGGTCTAATAGTTCCATTTCCATAGTTATTGTACAATACTTAACTAAATTGAATTTAAAAAAGTTTCCGTTATAACTGGCACTTTATTAGATTATACTTATATTAACTAAGTGCTCGAAGTTACATCTCAATTTTGTATGGTTTATAAATGTAAGATTTTAAGAGAATTTTCTGGGCAGTCTTTACAAACGCATTTCTCTGTTTTCTCCTTGGATAATGTCACTAGATCAAATATTTTAGGATTCTGTTGTACCTTACAAGGAAAAAACAATACCCTGATAAGATTGCTTTGTTGATCTGTCAGTCTGATTCTATTTCTGTCTTTTTATGATACAAGCAATATCTACCACTGCATGTATCTGTTTCTTAAAGTTTTAAATGCAGAAAGTTGTTATTAATGCATTATCTTGAGGTATGTCAATCATTTACTTCTGAAAACTTGGTTAAGCTTCATAAGACCGTCCTTCATACCCTGCCTGTAGGAAGTTACTACACAATTTTAGTTCCTAATCAAAAATAGACCATTTAGATTTTTATCAAAAGCACACTATGTACTTCACATTTTATATAAAGTATTACTTTTTCACATTTTATATAAAGTATTATCTGTTAATTATTTGTTTCAGTATACGAATATGATTTTCCACAACCTTATATAAGACCACAAGAATGGTTCCCCCTTAGAAGGCCATTCAATCTATACATGGACAAGTATAGAGATCCCAAACAGATCAACAAGGAATATTTACTGCGGAAACTTAAAAATGAGGATCCTTTCAAGAGACCACCTGCACCTTTAAGATTCCCCAATGCACATCCCTTACCAAAAGAGATGCCGTCCTGGCTAAAACTGCATGAGAAGAAAATAAGATTAGGCTGGGGCAGAGTAAATGATGTTTAAACTATTAATTAAAAGTTAGTTACTTTATGATTATTTGTTTTCAATTTCTATCCATATCTATTTTAAGGTTTTTGTTAAATTAAATTATTAGATCTTTTTTATTTTTATTTTAGTGCCGTTAAGCAATTTATATTTTTCAGAAATATAATATATTCCCTTAGTCGCCTCTCACAACACCTCAACAGTGATGGTAAACATATTTATTAGTGTCCGACCGAAACATGATTTTCAACCGAAAGCGAAACCGAACCTTCGGTCTGGGTGTCAGTTTCGGCCGAAACCGAAACTTATTTAGACATGTAATTGTTTTATTGTATACTGAAATCTTTAATATATTTTTTTTAAAAACGTTACCCCCACACTAAGATTTTCTCTTGTGTAGTGGAGGCAGTTTACAAACATAAATTGCACGAGGACAAACATCCAGACCCGGAACAATTATTTGTAGGCCATACAAATACTTGTTCCCTGCGGGATTCGAACCCGCAGCCCCCAGCGCAACAACTCATTGCTAAGCTACAGCGCCACGGAGCCGTCAAAGATTTTTTATACATATGGGTGTTTATCTATTAATTGGAAACTGGCCTATATAAAACTGTTCCAGGCATGTTTTTGTTAAATACGAGGGCGGGATGATAAGTAACTAGCCTAATAAGAAAACACTTAACTTTCCGTGATAAAATTAATTTTATTTTTCGACATAGTCTCTGTGAACGTTCGTTCTAAAGCAGTAATGCCTTCCATAAAATGATTTCTTTCGAGGCTTGTAATATACTCCTCTACAGCGGCTATGACTTCATCATTTGTAGCAAATTTCTGTCTGCCCAAAAAAGTTTTGAGCTTAGGAAATAAGTTAATAAAGAAGTCTGATGGCGCTAGATCAGGTATACTTCAATTCGTTGATTTTTGCCATATCTTTAACACATGTGTGAACCCTAGCGTTGTCTTGGTGGAAGATGTTTTTTTTTGTCGCCAAACCTGGTCGTTTTTGCTGAATACATTGATGAAGCTTATCTAGAAGCTTAGCGTAGTATTCTCCATTAATTGTTTGACCTTTAGGAAGGTAATCTATCATCAAGATCCCATCTGTATCCCAAAAGACGGAAGCTATCACTTCCAGCCGACTTTACAGCCATGGCTTTTTTTGGAGCCGGGCATACCGATTGAGTCCACTGTTTTGATTGAATTTTTGATTCTGGCGTGTAATGATGAACCCATGTTTCATCTGTTGTTACAAATCGACGTAAAAAAATCGGCCTTTATACTCTGAAAACGGTCCAGACATTCTTTTGAGTTTTGCACCCCAATCCTTTTTTTGATCGTGCGTAAGCAATCGCGGCATCCAGTTGAGTGACCCAACGGGCCGATAACTTGTTCATATTTAATTCCTCACTTAGGATATGATGTACCCGTTCTTTTGAGATACCTGTAGTGTCAGCTATTTTAGATAACTTCAATCGTCTGCTAAGCGATCTAAGCGTAAGCGTCTGCTTTTAACAGTGGTAGAGCCACGCGGCAGCTTTTGCTGTCGCACGGATGGGCCGGCTCGAACCGGGGTGGTACTACGACCTCACAGAAAACCAGCGTGAAGTAGAGGTTTACCTCTGCGTTTCGCTTGGTGAGTGCAGGTGGCCGGAGGCCCTTTTTACTGGAAATGAGGCATTCCATCTTAGTCCTCGCGGGTGACAACGCATCTACATTTTGATTTGTAATAGAGGATAGATGTAGATGTCTATGGGCCGCAGCAACCACTTACCATCAGGTGGACTGTGTGCTCGTTTGTCACTCAAATCCTATAAAAAAAAAACCATATCATGTACTTTCACAACCATTTCCGGAGTCGTAACGCTTTTTGGACTTCCGGGGCGGGCTTCATCTTGGACACATGTACGACCGCGTTTAAACTCAGCTACCCAGTTTTTTACTGTGACATAGGAAGGAGCACATTCACCCAAAACATTCTTTAACTCGTCATAGATATCTTTCCCTTCATGCCCTTCATATGAAAAAACTTTATCACCGCTCTTTGTTCAATTTTATCCATTTTGAAAACAGTTGACGAAATATATTTTCAAATGACAAAAAATCAATAAAATTTTCAAGTCACTACATTCAAATTTAGAACACAGGTGGCCAGGGATACGAATTTAAAAAAGACATATATTTTTTTAATTTTAACTTTTTAAATAGCAGTGGCTAGTTACTTATCATCCCGCCCTCGTTTTTAAAAAATATATAAATACAATGAAATGCATTAATTAATAAATGAAATATGTGTTTACAAAAATCTCATACATTATCCTCTTAATTTGTGAGTTATGGCCAATTTTATAAAAAATCATGACAGGGAATTATTATATAATCCCAGGGAATGCTTATACGAAAGAAAAAAATATAATTATTTCCATTGAATATAAGCCTTTGTTTTTTTCATTACTTTCACACTATTGTTTGAACGAATGAATCAAAAAAACTGAACAAACGAAACAAACTATAAATAATTTTCTTAATTCTATTGAACATAAGGATACTTTTCCTCTAGAGATGTGCTATGTTACGTTGCTATGGATGCGTCTGATATGCACCAATCATATTCATTGGTCCATATAGCTTAACACTGATAGAAACAGGTTCAATTAAGCTGTTTTTTATATGGATGGATGCCTGCTATGGATGGTCCAAAGTGGTGTAGCTATGTGCAGAGCAAAGCTCCGTGCGCCTTCCCTACTGTCGAGACATCACATAGCTCGAGCTGCACATCTTCCTCACACAGCTACAACGCTGCGGTGCATCTTCATAGCACGTATTACTCGCCTCGCTACATAGCTTAGCATCAGTGGAAACGGTCACATAGTTTTATAGCTTAGCTTTCACGTCCTCGCGGCATAGCTGCATAGCACATCTCTGGTGCAAAAGCACCCTTAAACTGTTCAAAATCAGCTTCTCTTCTTAATTGAAGTAATATGTCACTTTTAAAAACAAAAACAACATTACGTTACCATCTTATCTCACAATAAACATTTTGACATGACATTAGTAATTTAAAATATTTATCTTCTAATAATGTCTAGTTATAAATATTATTAGCAGCTTAAAACAAAATCAGTCTGACCATTGCACTTTAGAAAATTATTAAAATTAACTTATTTTTCAAAGTCCTCTTCTTTATAAGCTTGGAAGCACCAGGCGGTGATCCCAATGGACATCATGATACCCTTAAATTGATATATTTTGAGGGCATCACTGAAAGTTTTCAATTAAGCGACGTCTTTTTGAATATCGTCGGTCATTTCGTAACCGTAAACATTTGAGTTTCTAGGATATCTTTGTTTCATAAAATATTCCAAACTATCAATGTCCCCTCCTGCAGCAACGAAAGCATCTGCAGTTCTCTTGCATGTAGCGCCAACCCCACCAGCAGAATTCTTCACTTTCTCAGAAGTTCCCGAAAAACTTTTCTATAGTTGGGACCTCTACATGAAGCCTTGATGCCAAAATATAAAACAATGTTAAAATAACACATAAAATGGCGTCAGCCCGCTTAAACTTTCTTTAGCTCTGCAACTGCACTAACTTCACACCGATTGCTTTTCTTTTCACTATATAAATTATCTCGCCAATGCAGGTGTATTTTAGCGTAATTTTCAAATTGTGACGGGGCACTGTTCCAAAAAATTGAGGACAGTATTTACCTTATAATAAGTGTTACGGATCGCCGTAACGCCGTTCGAAAAATGAGTGAAACACGTTGGTCTTGCTTACTACTGGAGGCAAGCGGCGGTGAGGAGGAACTTTTTCTTTTCTTGCTGTTGTTTTCTTTACTGTAGCTGGAGAGCGACTGCCGACCGTTCTTTTTTTTTTTTTTTGCGCCCGAAGCAATTGGAAATGGGCTACCCCGAAGGGAGGCAGAAAATGCATTACGCATACCACGATGGCCGGTCCATCGTGGTTATGAGGGACTCACTACCTACAAGGGGAACCTAAGTGATACCCTCTAAAAACTGCCTTTGGGGACTGGCAACCAGCTGTTGAAAGCTTCACATGCCATATCTAAAGCGACCCTCTTTTGGGAAAAGAGGGCGCAGACGGCTAAGTGCCGTTTAGGGACTGCCTACGAAGGCATATTGATTTTAAATAATTTTTACTTTAATTAGTATTGGCCTGAGCCGCCAGAAGGCAGTTCAGGTCGCTTGAAAGTTTATTTGGCTGGTCCGAGAGAGTGTTTCTCGGCCTGCGGACGGTATAGCGGGAGGGGAGTGGGGCGGTATAAGTTACTGCCTCACGAATTAATGAGTTATTGTGCGACTCTGAAACTTAAAAAAGTTTTCAGAGAGAGTTATGGTAAATTGCTGAATTGTTGGGATTTCTAAATCCCGGTGAAGATCGGCATTACGGACGTACCAAGGTGCGTTCGTAGCTCGACGACAGAATAAGTTTTGAACTACTTGTAGTTCGTTAATAATTTTATTATCGGCGTGTGCGAATACGGGGGCCGCGTAAGTCATTACGGGACGTATACAAACCTTATAAAGGGTTCGCTTATTTCTTAATGACATTTTACTATGTCGGCCTAACATACTGTTAAGCCTACCTAGGTATAAACGAGCTAGACGTGTTACTCTTTTGACATGAGACTCAAAAGTAAGCCTGTAGTCAAGGGTGACGCCTAAATATTTTGCTGACATCTGCCATGGGACAGGGGTCCCTAGCATTCGTATAGGTGGAGTATTTTTCTTGTTTTTATTACGGCGTCTTTTAATATCGAATTGAACTGCGGAGCTCTTCTCCGGGTTCACATCGATACGCCATTTTTGGAACCAATCTGCTAGGTCATCGACTGACTTTTGGATCTTGTTCCTTGCTGAAGATATTCTAGGACTTTTGAAGTATAGAGCAGTGTCATCTGCGAAGAGTGAGAGCTGTACACCATTCGACGGGATTGGAATGTCGTTGGTGTACAAGATGTACAGGAGGGGAGCTAGTACTGATCCCTGAGGAAC